CCCTTTCCCCCCCCCCCCCCCCCCCCCCCCCCCCCCCATCCGCTACCCGATATTGCCATCACTTTCGCCTTTATTACTTACTGACGGGTCTAATTCAGTTAGGAAACTTTATTCCGGCGATGGTCTTCGTTTCGTCGACCGAAGTCGTCAGTCGCTTTCGTCAACTTTCATCACCATTTCAGTCTATTTTTTTTCATTTCCTCGCGAGCTACAATTTTCGTCTCGTCTTTGTCACGGTGGACGAAAAGGAAAAGCTCTTCGCCGACGAAATACTTCGGTGCAATTTTCTTCGACGAAATTAACACTGCACGCACTGCCTCCATTTCTGCTTGCAGGCATTTCACTTATCGTTGCCGCAAATCCAAGAAAGAGTAAGGCCCGAATGCCGAAACCTCCTTTAGTTAACAGTCCTTCAAGAATACCTAAACTTTTATGGGACTTCTATTGCTCTTTGGCTTAAAGGCCCCTTTATTTCCCCTAAATGAGGTTTGTGCGTTCTGGCTTAAGATTCGTCTGCGACCTTAGAGTGCCACCGAAACGAAGGGGGCAAGCCCAAGTCCACCGTCCAGCCAAGTCCTGTCGATGATTGTTGGGAAAAGAAGGAAAATACGGGAAGTCGGCAGAGGTTGGGAGACGGGCGGAAAGTGGGGAATGAAGAATGCCACGTGCGGCTCTTCGTGGGTCCGACTAGCAACTTTGTCTCCGTCGCCACGAGCAGTCTCTCTCTGTCTCTCTCTCTCTCTGTCTCTCCGTTCGTTAAGCACGGATCCGTCAGATTCAAAGGCTTGCAGGGAACTGGTGAGCTTCGCGGCGATGCTATCTCGACTCAGGTTGAGGGTTATGCATGCGTATCGAGTCGAGATTGAGGGAAGTTAGTGGTTGTTCACAACGTCGTGAGTTTTAACAATTCGAGAAAAAAAACTTCAGGCGCAAATATCGAACTGTAAACCTGATCTGCAGAGGCCACTCACAGCGTCAGCCAGTGAGTTCTCTGACGCTGACGCTGTGAGTGGCCTCTGTCCTTTTTGGAAAGGAAATCGTCTAAGAACATCAATCGGCAAGACTTGCGAGTCCCTGGCTTCTCGAGAGTCCCAGATATTTTTATTGGAAACCCTGGTCAATGCGAAGACACTGGTGCCGTCGCTTGGTGAAAGCCTACAAAGTACGCTTATCCTGGGCTTGGATACGGCTTCCTCATTTGGTCTCTGGAGATATTGGGCCCATGGTGAGAAAGGGAGGCGATGGAGGTAAAAAAGAGCGCCAATCAACGCCTGTACTATAGACATCGAAGTGGAACGGGAAGAAAGAGGGGGGGAGGGGGTAAGGGGGGGGGGGGAGAGAAGAGAATCTCATTGCAACTGTATCTCCAGGGAATCTCCAGAGGTTTCATTCTCTCTTCCTCTCCCCAAATTGACGTGGAGAGACGTTGATTCCTCGCAGATTCCGCTTCAACCGATTCAGGGTCTACGATACGAGGGGGGGGGGGGGAGGAGAGGGGATACGTTTCCTTTCACCTTCCCGCTTAGGTTTCTGCCACGAGACACCCACACAACATATGCGTTTCTAATACCTCCCCGACGGATCAACGCATAAAATCTCCCTCATCGAGGAAGTAGAGCGTCAGAAGGAGGAAAGATGGTCTCCTTCCGATTCCCAATAAGCGGTAATGGAAGACCCGAAGACAGACGGAGAAGAGAGACGAATCGTCTCACGAAATCTCTTCAGGGCTTGGCCCTTTTTTTTTCTTTCTTCCGTCCCGTTGCCCTTCTGCTGGGAATCAGGGGTGGAAAAATGCCGTCGCGGTCTGCGATAGGGAGAAAAATGGGGAATTTCACCCCGAGTCCCATGGGCATCCCGGGGGAAGGACCTCATTCTCACTTAATGTCTCGTTGATGTAAGACTTGAAGCCGGAGAGACCTGGGCTTCGTCTTGACGAATTCCACGCAGGGCTCGGGGTTAATTTCGTTACGAAGAATGATAATCGTATCAGAGAAGGTGTTCCTTCGCTTCGTTCCTTGCTGGAGGTCTGGGAGAGGGAGGAGATAATGAAAGGGGGGATGAAAGGCTTTCCCTCATCATCTCCAAAATCCACGACCGGATTTATTGGAAGAAAAAAAAAAGTCAGGATGGAACGTGTCCGGAATTCCATCCTTCCATTCATCAAAAACCTCCTCCAGACAAATGACTCTAGATGCCGTGCAATTTGTCATCCGGGTTTCGGAGGAAGCTTTCTTGCAATATGCACTCGGGAAACGCAAGCAGCTTTTCTTTTCTCCCTTCCACATGATTCCAACGAAAAGGTTTCTCTATTGTCTCCTACTTCCCGAGATTTTTCCTGCGAAGCAGTCCGGAAATAATTTCCATGTTAATGAGGGAATTATGCAGGGTGTGCAATTATTCAAATTGGCTCTATCTTGGGACGTTTCCATTGCCCATTTCTCACACCCCACGGATCGGAACCGACGAGGAACGAGGGCCTTTATGTTCCACCTCTCGAGATCAGAGGGCCTTTCACCTCTTGCGGGAAAAAATGAGTCCTTGGGAAGAGGGATGTTTTCCCGAGGTGTTATTGGGATATCCCCTGCTGGAGCAGGAAGCAATTTATCCCTCCCTGGGAATCATTTTTTTCTTTCTCCTCTCGTGATGCGTACCAATTCCCTTGTTTGTTCATCCCGACCTTTTCCCCATCTTTTCCATCGTGACCCTTTCCCTCCTCACCCTTGGTTTCCATCGAGGAGAAGGGGATAAAATCGCAACTACAGGGGAGATGCCTGAGTTCCTGAGTTCATCGAATTGCGAAGTGAAAATTCAGAGGCCTCTCTTAAATGATCTTTGCATGCTGCTGGGAAAACCAAATCTTCGGCTTCGAGTCGGGATTCGAAGCATTAAATAACCCCCCCTCACTGATTAGTGTTTGTGTCTTAAAAATGTATATGTGGCTCATCAGAACTGGAAATGAAGTCCCTCGCTGTTTCCATAGCACGCTCTCGGGGAATAGCCGAGTCCTCCCTTCCTCCCTTTCTTTCTTCCCTTTGCCAGGGGATATGTCTTGTATCTGGGTCGACCGAGGAGGAAAAGCCTCATCCCGTCACCATGCACTTGGTTTATTCCCTTCATTCAGAGATTAATGCCTGCAGGTAATCACAAAATGTACACAATAATTATTTCAAGGGTCATTCGTTTTCCACTTTTCTGCGAAAGCAGAATCTTCATTTTAAGGGAAATTTCAACCAAAAAATGGGAAGGTCCATATTTCGCGGGAAACTGAATCTGTACTGAAATGTAATAAATTGATGGAATAATTCAATTTTCTTGGTTTTTTTTTGCCATTCCTCTCCGGAATTCTTGCTCTAGAATTCTCAATCACAGTCGTACTTGAACATCCCTACGGTGGATTATTGGATTATCTTATCTGCTCCATCAGTCGGAGAGTTATTTCCTTTCCCTACCCTCGCCAAGCATATATCGAACGCTGTGAGTCAATCTAGGGCAATCAGTTAGTTAGCATGTCAGTGTGCAAGCAAATTGCGGCAAAGGTTTCGGGAAAAGCCTATTATTAGTATTCTTAGGTTTTCGATCTTGAATTTAAAAGAGGCAGAATTCCCTAGCTGAAGCCCTAAATCTTGGAATATCACAATGACGAAAGCTGAAAATTGCGGGGGAAAGAGAGCGGAAAACGAATGACCCTAATCATCACAAGTCCTCGGATATGAGATCAACTGTCTTCGCATCATGCATTCGTGAAACATCGAGGGAGGAGGAAAGAAAAGGTTCACATTTTGATCGGATTCGCTTGGAATGACTAGAGTCCCTTTTCGAGGGGTCGTTCGTTAAGACGAAGTCACTGAATCCCGTCTTAGTCCTTGACGTGATTGAAGGGATTGGCGGCAGCGGAGCTGTCGGCCCTTGCGGTCCGGGTCGTGAAGGACATCTCGAAGGCGGTCCGCTGCAACGCGTTTCTGCGGCAGCCGAAAACGTTCAGGAAAGCCTTCCGGAAGTTGGAGTTCATGAAGCAATACGTGATGGGATTGCAGCAACAGGAGACGTAGGCGAAGGAGTAGCAGCCGAGGATGCCGGCGGGGCCGAGTCCGGCGTAGACGGCGGACATGTCGAACAGGGCCCACGTGTTGATCACGTAGAGGGGGGTCCAGCAAATGAAGTATTCCATCACCACCACGGCCAGCATCTTGATCACGCGCTTCTTGTTCTTCAGGCTCCGTTCCACGTTGCTCAGCCGCAGTTTGGTATGCCCATTCAGACGATTCGTCAGAAGTCGGTTCGGCGCCGGAGGGGAATCTCCGGCAGTGGGCGACATGTCTCCTTCTCCTGCTCCTCCTCCTTTCATCACTGGCGAAGGAAGAAAGGAAAAAGAAACGTAAAGGAGAAAAAGGGACAAGATATATGGGCCTTAGACGTCACCTCCGGTTTCCTTGGGATCACTTCAGTCTTGCCCCATCGTATCAAAGTATGGATGAGAATGAACTATGAGATTATTTGACCAACAGTATATTTTTACGACCGGTAACTCTGAGGGGAAGAGACAAAAGAGAGTAAGGATGAAACATGATCCCGTCTCGAAAGGAAAAGGAACTGGGCATTATGACAGGGATCAGTCCGTAAATCCCAGAAACGGAGCTCGAAATGGAAGTGTCATCTCTTTGAGAATCTATGGAAGATAACCCTTGCCAGGTGCACGGGGGACAAATCTGGTAAGCCTACAGTGCATCGAAGCGACAGAGAGATGAGAATGATAAGAGCTGAGACCCGAATCCATGCCAACTTCCCTCTGTATTTTTAGGCGCCCCGGCTTTTCCATAAATCCTTCAGGAGGGGAGGAGAAAAGCCTTTTTTTCCATAATAATAAAAAAAATTGGTTCCAAGCCCCTCTCCCATCCCCTTCTTGATGAAGTGCCGTCAGTCTGGTCTCCGGCGTCCTCAACATTTCATCGGTTTCTTTTATGAGGATTCGACGGGTCGTATAAAAGAGAAATGGTTTCGAGTCCCACTGAAAATAATTCATTCTCACTCCACGTGACTGGAAATATACTCAGGAATGCCTCATTTCACCTTGGGAGGCTTCATAAACCAGATGGAAAATTTATCGACCGGAATCTCGTCTTTTATCGATGACGATCGTCAATCGGACATCCTTCGAGATTTAGCTTCCCTGAATCCTTCCGAGGGAGAAAGGAAAAAAATTTGGGTCGGCTAATTGGGGCTCGACCCCAATCAGGGACGTAAACGAAGACCAAAAAGGGGGGGATTCATCCCCAGGAGAAACAAAAGAGGGAATCGACTCACGAGAGGAATGGAGACTTTGAGAAGCCTCATTGAAGCAGGATCCTTCCTCGGATCGGATCTTCTTCCACAGACTGGTCGCAATGAGGGTGTAAGTGGTAGTCATGATGAGGAGGGGGAAGACGAGGAGAAAGCAGTCCAGGAAGAGCATGAACGCCGTCTCCGATGACTTCGACGGCCACACTTCACGGCATTTGTGACGGCCTGCGACCAAACCTGTGAAGAAAAAAATCTCACATTCTTTTCTCATTTGCTTCTCCTTAGGTCGTCAGAAGAGACTTGTGTAGGCCTACCCTGAGCGCAATATGCACGTATCCTAGATCCATGACAATTCCGCAAACATGAACAATATCTTATTGTTGCTCAGGACACACATCCTCGAATGCTCTCAGGGTTCACACGACCTCGTGCTTCCAGAAAGCGTACGCATCCATAGTAAAGCAGGAACCAAATCTCTGTGCACTCTAGGTCCACTCCATCGGGTGTGCACATTCTTTCCATCAGAAGTCTTCGACGCGAATCTTCATTGGATGGGATTGGATATGGGAAATCATAAACGCCACTAGCAAAAAATCGTACATACGCCACAGTAAATCGCTTCTTACAATGGATAGAGGATATATCTCGTGACTACCATTACCTAAAGACTCAAGGGATGGCAATATTGGGGAAAGTACGTCTCCATGACCGAGGCGCCAGCATAATAGCTTTTGTAATATTGTCATTCATGTGAATGAATCAATTGGTAATGTGCTTCCTCCGGTCACATGCACCCGAATTGCGCAAGAATGAGCATTCAAGTCCTCTCCGAAAGCACGTTTTCTTTTCTCATTCCCTCATTCTCTTTTCTCTTTCTTCTCCCACTTTCTCGTCTCACCCCCCTTTCTCATTCTCTTCGGATTATTCGTCCGTCAGCCCATGAGAAAAGTAACGGAAAACCAGCCTTCTTTGTGAAATCGTCACAGCCGACTCATGTTACACACCTCAGAGCCCCGGGAATGGCTCCTGCATGAAACATCGCCGTTGCAGACGGGCGAAAGACACGATAGATGACAGCGCTTTTCAACGTCATGAAGCTTCAACGTCCCTCGGCTCAATCAACGATGGAGAGAGTTTCGGTGCTGATCTGACTGGCGAGGATCATGAAGGTCGCATCACTCGATCGATCACCATCGCAAAATTCATCACCGCCATTGAAAAAGATGACCTGGAAGGGATTGTCGGCTTTATTGCTTGGATGGGACGCGATCCGTCATCTCCTCTCCGATGCGAAGGAAGAGAAGCGAGTGGGAAAATTCCTCCGTCGGGAGCGACCCTTTCAGGAGAGACCCTTTCAAAGGAAGGGATCCAAAGGAAGGGATCCAGGAATCTCTCCTTTCATTACGTTCGTGTGACAGTCGGTTGGGTATTATAATTGAGAATCGGAGAGACAAGCCGTGCGGCTCCAAACGGTAGGATGAGATCTTTCGAGATTATCATATCTGGCTCCCATGATTTATTTTCGTCCAGAGGACGAAGACGCAAAAAACACTCAGAGAGGATCTTAAGTTCCCATAAATACTCAATGAGCCCCATCTCGATTGATGGAGGCTATTTTTATTTTTATTGGTTGCGTGCTCGTAGAAGGCGAGGGCGGAAGGCCTGCAATGTCTCTTGCACGAAATCCGATTGAAGGCGTACTGCTTTTCGGGTCATGCCATGCCCGAGTGGGTGAAAGGTGCAAACGATAACCAGACCGCATAAAAAAAAGACATTTCCGAGACAAGGTTTGCAAGAGGGAAGTGAGATAATGCTTCTTCCTTCGTGCCGATGGGAGACGTCACCAAAAATGACGCGATTCCCGGCCGTATGACCTTAACCCACAAACGGAAATGAACCTATAAATAGTAAATCGCCTCCACCTCATCTTTACTGCTCGAGGAGAATGTAAAATGGAATTTTTTGTCATTTGATGGCACAACCCAAGAATATTCTTCCAATGTCGATCCCGGATTCGTCGTTCTGGCTCAGAACCTAGAAAATTAGCATATGTGCGATTTCTCTCACGCAACTGGTACATTGATCCGATGCACATTAGACCTTTCCTTATGCATATTTGCCTTGTGCTATTTAAGTTCCTTTGCTCGATGCACATAAGTTTCTCCCGGAGTATTACTTGCCCCAAACGAAAAAATCACACCCTTTCGTGTCCTGGGTCACACCTGAGAACCATGTGAGTCACATGAGCTCGTAAAACCGTTTTGCACCTTGTTACACTTCATACTACATGAGATTGGGATCGAAACTGTTGCGACTTGTTTGTGGTCATGAGCTCTCGAACGAGACAACCTTGTTGAAGCGCCCATCTGACAAGGATCTGGATTGCAAGCAACGGTACGCAGGAAGATCGGCTTGTCAATCCTTCAGGAAGTCAAACATGGATCAACAGTTGACTGTATTTTGTCCAGAGTTCGTTTCTGGGGTCTGTACCTTAACCTGATTCGCATGTGCTCTGTCACGTAGTGATAGCCTCATCCCGTCTCTCAAGGAAAATGTGCGTACAATTTTTAAAGGATCCCATTAGGTTCTTGTAGAATTGTAACTTATCACTATAAGATCGTATAAGGAATTTTGTTTTATAGTAATTTATTGGAGGACAGCGTAATATTCTTAAAGAATCCTATAGAAACCATTGCAGAGACAGGGACTGGTCGTTGTGAGAAAGTCCACTTGCCTTATAGCCATATCCATCACATCCTCATTCAAATTTACAAGAGACTATGAGATTCCTGTTGGAAAAGAAACCAAGAGTGAATATGATAATGCGGCTCATGACGAAGTTCCTCGACCATTTTCCGGATTTTGAACGGTTCGTTTTTTTTTGTATTTTCATCGCGATGGTATTCTGTCCTCTTCGTTCCGAAGAAAATCGTAGCCGAGGAAAACCTTCGCGAGTTTTTATCTATGGAGAAAAGCTGAGATGAGGCATCGATGCGGAAGGAATCGCGAACGAATGTTATTGTCCACGATCCGTTAGGCTGGGAAAGCTAGCCTCACTCGAACCCATGGGAACGGAGAGAAAGAAGTAATCGCGAAGATGCATTCCCTCGACGAGAACGGACAGAGAAGACAGAGAACCCCCTTAACATCCTCCTTCTTCCCTTCGAGCTGGGACGGTAGGTCGACGACGATCAGACTATTTACCTCCTTTTTCCAAATCCACCAGTCCGGTGCAAAATCAGGCAAGAGTCTGGGATTGTCGTTCGTCTGTCTGCGTCTATTTCTATTTCTACCAGTTCTTCGTGCAATTTAACCGTGTCTCCAGATTGCTTTTTCGATGGCACGTCCTTTGTAAGAACGAGAGCGGGGCACGAGCTGAATGCAATCTCGAAGCACAGATCCACTCGACGGAAGGGAATCCAGAGTTCCAAGTCACCGATTTTCCAGGAGTGCTTCTCTCTTGTGCCTATTCATCTCATTCACCCTCATTTACCCTCTGAGAAAATCAATTACTGTCGTATGGAAACTCAGAAGCCCTTTATATAAATTCTTAATGTCATAATTTGAAACCTCCTTTTTCAGAAGCATTTCCCCATTCTTTGATCCCTCTAATATCACGGAAATTTGATGAGGAACCTCAATATCCTTCATGACTAATTCAGTCGCTTGAGCAATAACAGGCAGAATAGCCCTTACGCCTTAATTGGCTTAGGCCCATGAACTATCTTCAGCTGAGGTCTAGGCTTACCCTTCCTGGCAAAAAGAGTTTTATATTAGAACTAATTAGACTCATGATTTGACCATCACGAGTTTCTCGACCAAGACGTCCTTGTACAGACAGCCTCCGAAGAAGACTGCCTGAATCAACGATGGACTCCATCAATCAGGTATGTTCACGCAAGGTACGTCCATGAGTTACATCGATCGATCATTGATAACCACTGTTTCGATCTTATCTCATTCACGAATTCAGCAAAGAAACGTATTTTACATGGTGAACAGGAAATGCAGGCATCGATACGAAAGTAGGATCACTTTCCAATCCGAATAAACTTCAGCATGATATCCAGCAACCGTGGTGGTGGGTACTGGAGTCCTCATGAAAAGCCGCAAAAACCCAACGCCTAATTTCATTTTTCACCGCAATATGGCAAGTAACAGAAAGGAGACGTGTCTCTTTCTACAAGGCCATATCTTTCTTCCGGTGATGGTGTCCTTCGAATACACCCATAGAACTCTCTACTAGGAACTAGGAACAACTCGGGAAGGGGAGTTAGTTTCGAAATGAAATTCGCATAGGCTATGTACGAGATCCTGTTTTCTCTACACCTCCATGGAGAAGGATATTTGAATTTGCAGAAGCGATCAGAGGGTGTGGGGCATGCTCAATATCATTCCTCAAAATGCTTATGCATATGTCTCACCAGATATTCTAAACCGTTGAAGAGTAAAAAAATTTTTTCCTAGTACATTACAAGAATTAAGTATTTCCTTGCGTACCTTTGCAAGCGGGTCGAGGGAAACACGTCATCTGGTGTTCTTGCAGGCTTTGGGTATTCCGGAATCTTGTTATACTTAGAAACACGAGTATCTTAGAAACACGATGAGATCCTCATATGAATCTTGCCCGAATCCTTTCGGGATCCTTTATTACATCCTTATAATCCTTATAGGGATCTTATCTTTCTATGAGATTCTTAAAAGATGCCAAGACTAGATGTTGATTGAATTTTTTTTTAATGACAGTCTTATAAGCTTTCACTCGTGACACCATCTACCATCCTGTGAGAGCGTGCCGTGTGATTTGCGACAGTGCCATCCATTCACATGGAGCATTCACGAGCTGACGGATCGCAAGGGAACAAGCAAGTGCAGGGTGACAGATTACGTCACACCCATGAGAACAATCCCGATTTATCTTCAGGGTCCAACGCGTGATATTTTCATAGTGAATGAAGCACATTAATAAATGTTTCCTGTCCTGCTTAAGAGAGACATTGCCCTTTGGTGCAAAACAGAGTATGACTTGCGCGGGAACATACTCCCGAAAACAAGAAAGCAAGACCTCAAGGCGAAAAACTGCTTGCAAAGACAGGAATCATCTGCACATGGATTCCGCGTTCCTTCCACGTTCTGAACTGTCCATGCGATATCAATGGAGTGTATACTATATAGGAAAAGGATTGGCATCTGGAATGATGACGAACATGGAAATATCTTGGGTTTAGATTTAGATTAGAGATTTTACCCTGTGAAAGGGTAGAAAATGACATCAGGCTCAAAGTCCTGGACTATCCGGTTGTGGAGTGAATTTTGCTGATGAAGAAACACTTATTAAAGAGCTTTCCCTTCCCTCCCTTATTATTCTCTCCTTTCCTTCACATTGGCCACTCCCATCTTAGAGTGCAAGAAATGACATCTTAATTGTTTAAAGATACCTACACTTGTGGC